CACAGTCTACAAATCAGAGGACCCTACAGAGTTTCTCGGCATGAAATCCAAAACAAATCCTTTGTCTACAACCTAGTCCAGGAAGAACCAAAAAATCAGTATGTCCCCAGAAGTTTTTGCCACCAAAGACTCCAAAACCCTCAACTGTCATTGAAAAGAAATGCTGCAAAAGCAACTATGGACCTGTACCTTTTTTTGTTATTCTGACATCAGCTCATGTAGCATCAAGGAGACTAGGCTGCTGGGACTTGTCTCAAGACTGACAAACCACACAGACTCAGCCCACCTTTAAATCCACATGTAGATGAATCTATCTCTCCAGTCAGAATTGGTCCATAAAACTGAAAGTAGTTACTGCTTCATCAAATACACAGACATGAATACAGTATTAAAAGAAATACTAAAAACAAGGACACTACCAAGAGAACATAATAATTTTCCAATAATCAATACCAAACAAATGGATATCAATGTACAGCCTGATAAAATAGTCAAACTATTTACTTTCAGAAACATCCACGAGCCACCAGAGAAGACAAAGGGAACTAACTTAAAGAAAAAACTGACATGGGAACAACAGAATATCAGATATACAGAAAAATTTAAAAGCAATAAAACAGGGGCTGGATCCATATCCATTCCCCAGTCCCAGCCCTCCGCCCCTATGGCACCCTGGGCCCCCACCATGCAAGGCCACTAGCACCCTCAGTGTCCCCTTCCCTCCCCCTCACTGCCCAACCTCCCACGGTGTGAACCCAGGTGTTCCCAGCACCCAGCTTTTGAGCTTGCATTCCCAGGCCGGCGTGGGGGCAAAAGAAGAGGGGACCCTGGCATCCCTGTGCCCCCCACCTGGCCACCCAGTACCCCGGGGCCTGGTGAAAATATCTTTGCGGCCACTGGTCCGGGACAACGATCTCAACTCGGACACACATGGCACCTTGGGTAGTGGCCAGTCCTCGGACAAGGGATCATCCTTGGTCCAGCCACTCCCTGGGTGCCTGCTGCCAGAACTCCACCGCCTTGTGTCCTGAGGAGCAGCCCCATGAGAGCAAATATTGCCCACTGAGGACCAAAAGAAAGGGCAATTTTGCCTAAGTCAAGCTGGCCTGGCACATCCTCACCAGCCAGCAGAATGCCATCAAGATCATCGACAAAACTCAGCGGAACCTCAGCCGCCTGCAGAAGCTGTTCTGAGAAGTTTGTACCATGAAGGGTCTAAACCAGTCCAACATCATGAAGCTCTTCAAAGTGATCAAGACAAAGAAGACACTGTACCTAGTTGATGGAATATGCAAGTGCTGGAGAAGTGTTTGACTACTTCGTGTCACACGGCCGCAGGAAAAAGAAGGAAGCTGGAGCCAGGTTCCAACACTGTATTAGCTGTGTGCTGCTGTCACCAGAAAAACACTGTCCACAGGGACCTGAAGGCCATCTGTAGCAGAAGCAAGGCCATCAGACAAGCGAGTCAGGGGTGGGGACCCACAAAGCAAACAAAGTGGAAGAAACAAAAGTGTCTAGAGTGGCCCGGCATTTACACATATTCTGGACAAGGACAATGGGACCTGATACAGTTCATCACTCTCAGAGCCTGTAGAGTCTTAGTGTCTCTCAGACTGGAGAACATTCAGGAATCTTTCAGAATTGATGCCTGCAGAGTCTGAGACTCCCAAGCACCTCAGAATGTGAGCAGTTTTGCACAAGAACCCTCAAGACTAGCGCCCGTCAGGGAAGGGACTCATTGGGCCTGGACCCCACTGCCTGGCCAAGTGGAGCAGGGGCAGCCCCCTTGAGGAGCTCTGTGTCACGGTTCCCCGGTCCACACCTCCCACCCAGAGAGAACCTCACGTGTCAGAACTTGTCTTATACCAGAGAGATAAAACCTTTGTCTGCCCCCCCAAAATATAAAAATATTAAGACGGAAATGCTGGAGTTGTCAAATTACATTGAAGAAATTGAAAAATGCAATAAGCAGTATTAAAAGAAGCCAGAAAAGAATATATCATAGCAAAGACATGTCATTGGAAGGCATCGAAATGGAGAGAAAAAAAAGGAAAATAAATTTTTTTAAATATACCAAGCTTAGCCCTGGCTGGTGTGGCTCAGTGGATTGAGTGCCAGCCTATGAACCAAATGGTCGCTGGTTCAATTCCCAGGTAGGGCACATGCCTGGGTTGCAGGCCAGGTCCCCAGTGGTGGGCACATGAGAGGCAACCACACATTGATGTTTCTCTCCTTCTCTTTCTCCCTCCCTTCCCTTCTCTAAAAATAAATAAATAAATAAATTTAAAAACAAATAAATAAAATCTTTAAAAAATACAATAAAGTATACCTAGGTAAATTAAGTAACACCATCAAACGATCTGATATTTGCATTATGGGAATAGCAGGAAACACTGAGGGTGGTGGTGGTAGGTGGAGACAGAGAACAGAAAAGGGAGGAAAGGAGCAAGACAGGTAGAACATTTATTTTACAATAATAAGCTGAAGACTGACTCCCCACATCTGAAAAAGAGCTGTGAATAATCAAGGGCAGGCATTCTCACACGTCCCTGTAGAGATTCACTGCAAAGTGGACTTCACCAACACAGTAAAACGAAAGTTTTGAAGATCAAAGGCAAGAGAGCTGTGAAAGCCCAAAGTAGAAACTCCTCACACACAGCGGAACTCCTGAATAAGAACTCCTGAATAAGAGTATTGGTAGATGCCTTTCAAAAAGTTGAGGACTAGGAGGAAATAAAATCACATTTTCAAAACACTAAATGGAAACCATTAACATTTTATCCAGAAAACCCTTCTTCAGCAAAAAACACTTTCCTAGACAAACAAAAGCTAAGGAAGTTCATTGTCATTCAACCTGACTTATTAGAAATGCCAAAAAAAGTTCTTGAATATGAAATAAAAGAAAACTAAATAGAAATTCAAATACATAGGTAAGCATAATTCTCACTATTAAAGTTGGTACTGTAACACTGGAAACTCTCTCCCCCTTTCTCCCTTTCTCTCTAAAATCAATATACATATCCTCAGGTCCAGATTAGAAAGTAAATAAAGAAATAAAGAAGGCTGTCAAATTCACAACAGCATCGAAAACAAAACACACAGGAATAAATTCAACCAAAAAGAGGAAATGTGTATACATTGGATGTGCTAAGACAGTGATAAAAGGAAGGGAAGAAAAGACAAATGAGTGCAAAGACAATCAGTGTTCTTGGATTTTAAATTTAATATCGTTAAAATGTCTATACGACCCAAATCAATGTACAGATTAAATGCAATTTTGGAGGTAATTCCAATGGTATTTTATACAGATATAAAGAAAGAACCTTGAAGTATATACAACATCAAAAGACTTTGAAAAGCAAATTTTGGTGACATCACATTTCCTGACTGCAATCTATGACAAAGCCACAGCAATCACACCTTATGTTATTAAAAATGAACACAGATCAACAGAATAGAAAACAAAAACAAACACAGGCACTGGTGTCCAACTAACCCTTGACAAAAAATGCAGGACACATAAGAAAGAAAAAGTAGTTTGTTTAGTAAATGGTGCTGGGAAAAATGGACACTCACATGTAAAACAACAACACAGGAAACCACTGATAAAAATTAGGTCAAACAACATGAAAAAATTAAATGTCAGTCCTAAAACTTAACACTCCCTCAGAAAACCTACAGAAGTTTTAGAAATTTGCTTTTCTAAAAAATCTATGTAATTATTTTTTTATAAGATTTTATTTATTTATTTATTTATTTGTCTCAAAAGAAGGGAACAGAGAAAGGAGAGGGAGAGAAACATCAATGCGAGAAAGCAACATCGATCTGCTGCCTCTCACATGTGAACTGGGGCCCTGGACTGCAACCCAGAAATGTGCCCTGACCTGTATTCCAACAGATGACCTTTCGGTTTGCAGGATGACACTCAACCCACTCAGCCACAGTAGTCAGGGCTGTCTTCTATATGTGACAACAAACACCAAGCAAAAAAGCATATATAAACAACAATCTGGACTAAAACAAATGATAAAGATTCTTCACAGAACAGCAATTAACATAATGAAATGAAAAGGCAGCCCTGACCAGCGTGGCTCAGTAGGTTGGGCACCATCCCTCAAAGCTAAAGGTGGCCTGTTGGATTCCCTGTCAGGACACATTACTGGGTTGGCAGCTCAGTTTCCAGGTGGGGCAGGAGACAGAGGTGAAGGATCAATGTTTCTCTCTCACATCACTGTTTTTCTCCCTCCCTTTCCCTCTATCTAAAAATAGAAATCAATACAAACTTAAAAATAATAACAATAAAGAAAAATTAGGCAATCTCAGAATGGGAGAAAATACTTGCAAACCGTATTAAAATATGGCTTGGAGACGCTGTGGGTTCAGTTCAGAAAAAGTCACGTAAATTTATGTAGGCTTTAACAAAGCAACACCTTACTCTAAAATAAAAACCTCTATATAACTTAAACATAATTTATCCCTAAACACTGGTAACCAGCATTTGAGCCTGCTGACAAATTGGCAGAATGCAGGGTTGCCACAAATTGAAATTGTAAAAAAAAAAAGCAGTATCTACAAAGCAAAATTAAACAAATGAAAAAAGCCATGTACCATAGGTGAAAAAGAATTAATATATAAAATGTACAAGGGATTCAAAAGACTCATTAGTCAAAAACGTGGAGACAGTTTTCCAAAAATAAAAAAATACAAACACACCCAAATGACCAACAGGAAAAGAAAAAAAATGCTTTTTCTCACTAATCAAGGTGGTATTTATTAGTCTCCCCGCAACATTACAAACCACAAACCCTTCCCTAGGAGTTCAGTACAACAGGTGTTGGTACTGCAGCGGGAGAAAAGAGTGGTGCAACCCAACCAGCGCTACCGAGGAAAGCAACTACTCAGAAACCTGGAAAATCAAGCACTGCTTATGGTCCACATATGAGGAGAGAGCACCCCCTATGGAACAGGGGGCATAAGGAAATGCAAAACCTAGTCCACACCACTGGCACAGTGACGGCATTACCCAAAGAGGATGTAAGTTCAAAGTCCTCCAACATCACATCCAGGTACAGGTGTCTGTGAGCTTCATCAAGGAGGCGCCATTCTTCCCTGGAGAAGTACGGGGCAATGTCCGCAAAGGTCACAGCAGCCTGTCAAAATTTAGACAAATCAATCAAGAGCTGTCTATAGAACCAGAATACTGCTTCTTACCAATCCTTCCCATGATCAATTTCCTCCAGGGAGCCTCAGTTCAGTGTGGACACCAGGCCCTAATACCAGTGCTGGCTACTCTCTCATCACAGTCCTATTAATTACTGTTATCACATTCAGCAACAGCAAGGCGGGGAACTGCAGATAAACGTCATAGAAGCATTGGACGGTGACTGAAGGGTCCCATTCTTCCTGCCAGAGTCTCGCAGATCATGCCTCCAATGCACAGCCAAACATGAGCTTACGATTCACCCTTAAGTCCTCACACCTGGGCCCAAGACCATCAGCTCACACTTCCTCTCGTTGAGCACACCAGTATAGAATGTCTGCCTCCCTCACACCTTCTGAGCCCAGGTTCATTCCTTCAATTCTGCCACCTTCTTGCTCCATAGCTCAGGCCTCTCTCGGGGCTCAGCTAAGAACTAGGGATATGGTATCCAAAGAGTGCTTGACAGGTTCCAGCAGGATCCAGCACAATCCCAGTTCTCTGATGGATTCCGCAGTCCAGCAAGTCCTCCCTGCCTGCCTTTCATCTTTGCTTCAATAGACACCACGCCCTGTCCACTCCTCACTGTGCTTGCTGGCTCCTCAGGCACCACAACACTCTTCTCCCCCTGAGCCTTGGTCCCGGCACTATACGCGAAGCTTGGGCTGCGGGACGCAGGGTCAGCATGGTGAGGCGCTGAGAGGGGTGGAGGTGTGAGGGGACGTGAACTTACCTCAGCTGGGCGTCTCAGCGATGCTGCCAACGGACTCCGTGCTGGAGGCGCGGAAGAAGCTGACGCAGAAGAGGCCGCCCCCGGGCATGGCGGCCCAGGCGCGGGTCACCGGGGCAGCGTCGCCCAGCTTCTTCCCTCTCCTGCGTGCTTTGTTGGACCACGACTGCGGTGCTTTACCTGCCCCCGCATCTCCACCAGCACCCAGCGATCTGGAGCTTCCGAGCACGTACTTGAGCGGATTCTGGCTGAAGCAAAACGCCCATTGCAGAGGACTCCGGAAACCCCGTAGATCCCAGCCGAAATGCCTTTTCTGACTCTTGACGGGCTAGGCGTGGCAGTAGTCCACGCAGGGCCTTTTGGGTAACGTGGGTCAGAGCCCAAGGCGGTGAACCGCGGTTTTCCACGTCACTTCAGCAGAAAACACTAATATCCGCTGCTCGGTGTCCAGGGAAATGACTCTAAGTTCGAAAGACACTTCTTAAATGTCGCTAAAGAAGGTTGTCATCTTTCCTGATAAAGGGGCTTGAGTCAATGTTAATTAAAAGAAATTACCTGGCAGTCCAACACAGCGAGTCATAATAAAAGAGGTATGCCTGCATTAGAATCTGGAAAATTTTATCACACCAATGACCTACTTACACCATCATATACGTGAAAAATGTAACACAAAACTGTAGGACAAGCCTTTGAAAGAAAAAAGAGCTAAGATGCCTAACACCATTCAGTAGAATTCTATTTAGTTATAATTTGAACATCAATTAAGATAAATTTGGAGGGAGGTGGGCAGGGCAGGGAAAGCAATAAAGGAAAATTGGGACGACTGTAATAGAACAATAAAATAAGGTAATATTTTTTAAAGTGGGAGAACTGGATTCTGAGAGTTATTTGTGTTTTTGTTACTGTGTAAATGCTACTGTATTTATCACAGTGAAAAAAATTGTCCTTTCCACACATATTCAAGAAATCACATTTGGGAAAGAAAGACATGATGTGAAATGATATTTCAGGCATTCTCGATATGCTCAGATTACAAATGTATTTATAAATTATACTTGGGATAAAGAAGTATATATATTTATATTGAAAGTTGACCAACGTATAGCTCAGAAACTTTTATAAATCACATGAACTATTATAAGTAACATGTAATTATGGGTATCTTTCTCACCTCACTTTTCCCCCTCAAATTGTAATAGATAAAAAGGACTCGCACTTTGTAGAAACATGAATTTCATGGTAGCCAAGTTGCCAGCATAACGATAGTTCAAGTAAACCTTCCTACGTCTTAGAACTCACTGTCCTTCAATTACCATCCATTGAGACTTGCCTATTCTCAGGCTCAGAGCCTTTGGTTTTCTAGCCATTTGAAAAGTGCTCACTTTATAACTCCACTAATCAACACTCATACCTTCCAGCAGTTTGCGCACCCCATAATTTTATGCTAGAAATAATCTGCAGTCCCAAGCCAGGACTATCACTGCATTTACAGGTGCAATGATCATTATTTCCTGGCAGGACAGTAAACTTCTGAAACTAAAACCTCTTCTCTCAGGTTCAGATGCCCACTTCTCCCAACCTGCACAGATGCCAACATTGCAGCGATCCTGGCACTGAGTGTAAATGTGGCACGTAGTCATCATTCCCAGGTCCATGCCATAATGTTCGGAACAGACCATGTCACTAAGAACTGGTCACTAAGAACTGTTCTATTCAAATACAGGTGAAATGATCATTACTTCCTGAAAAAGAGAGATTTGAATCCAAAACTCTTCTCAGGGTCTTATGCCCACTTTCAACACCGTCATGGATGACAACATTGTAAACATCTTTTTTAATTTTTAAAAAAGATTTTATTTTTATTTTTTAGAGAGAAAAGGAAGGAGAGAAACATCAACGCATGAGAGATACATGGAATGTTTGCCTCTCACACGCCCCTGCTGGAGGCCTGTCCTGCATAACTCAAGCATGTGCACTGACGAGGAATCAACCCCACCACCCTTCCGATTGCAGCTAAATCCGCTGAGCCACACCAGCGAGGGCACATTGTAGACATTTTGTTAGCAAATGTAAATTTGCTATAGAACAGTATTCCCAGACACATGTTCTAGTGTTAGAATAACTAAACCATATCCCCAAAATATATTAAGGAATGTTATGTAGGAAAGCAAATAGTGTCTTGGGTTGTAAAACAAATACTGAGAAAGAGCCAGGTGGAATATATTCTGAGTAACTAAACGGTGTGGTGTGTCTACATCCACTTGCTTTGGGGTTGCTGAATATCTCCCCTCCGTGTTCCCTCTATACCTGTCTGGAAGAATCTTTCTCTGATCACTGTGCGAGCAACACTGGACCTTATCATGTTCCTGCTAAAAGACTTGCTACCTGTGAAGAAAATGAAGACTGTGTGTTTTCTCAGTACATTAGTGAAAATTAATGCTTTCATAACAACCTTTGGACATACATTTTTCACCATTTCAGGGCATGAATTACAAATGGAATCTGCAGGAATATTTTACTAACATGTCTTTGATAAAGGTGGAGGTTAAATCTTCCTGCTGGCTTTAATGAAAGCAACACTCTTCAAAAACATGCCAATAAAATACTGTAAAATATAAACAGATAATCAGGCATGTAAAGAATCTCAAAATTAAGAATAACACTGATGTTAGACTTCAATGTGTGGAGTTTAAATGGTGCCTTCAACTTTCCTACTACATGGTCTGGTCTTAGAAGACCATGGCTGTGACCACGGGTATTATTTTCTTAAAAATGACCTACTTTAATTTTTCTTATACAGATTGCATCCTAAAAAATTTGCTTGTATCTCTGCTAAGTGGAATATGGAATTAGGGTCTGTTTGTGGCCCATGGTGCTGAGCATGATAGCGGTTTGTGTTCAGAAGGATTATGTTCCAAACTAAAGGTTCAGTGTGCAGAAACATAGGACTACAAAGGACGTGGGTCCAGAACACAGTATGGGTTGCTGGGAAGACAAGGTGAGTTTTTATGTCTCATACAGCCAGCAGGGATATACAAGACGTAATCACCTGGGCAGTGGGTCCCTTTCTTGGAAAAGAGGCGTCACTTCACAATGAGACTGGGATCCTTTAGGTCTCCAACATTACTTCCGAAGGCTAACTTGCAGCATTCACATCCAGCTGGCCCATCCACTTCAAGGTGAATGTCAGTGCCACATACAATCAACACTCCGAAAGTTAAATTAAGGCATCAAATTCACCAGAATAAATGGGATCATAGCCTGAGACCCAAAATGTGTGTGAAGTTGCAGGCTCCCGGCCAAAATTACCAAGGTCTCCTAGGGGTCAGGCTGCATGTTGGGAATCAAAGGAAAGGCAGACAAAGTGTAGCTCAGTTTAATAGGAGGTTCCCCTGGGCGCTGGGCTCATTTGGTTGTGCGTTATCACGTGAAGTGAAAGTTTCCCAGTTGCATTCCTGGTAAGGACACGTCTGGGGTGAGGGTTTGGGTTTGGTCCACATCCTTGAGTGTTCAGAAGCACCTGATTGATGTGTGAGTGTCTCTCACATTGATGCTTCTTCCTTCTTTCCCTTCTCTCAAAAAATGAATAAAATCTTTAAAAATAATAAAATAGGATGTTTCCCTGGATGACTGAGTGGTTGAGGTCAAGTGCTTTGACATTTTAAAGAAATAAGGGGAGAATCATAGTAATTGTACCAATAGAAAAAGCAGCTTCAGCTGAGTCTCCCTGGTTCTCATACTGTACATAACCCAGTGAGGGCTTCAGAGCTATGGCTGAGGTTGTTTCTGCTCCGGAGCCAGAATCCTGGGTTAAAATCCAGCCACTTAAACCTGACACTTGCCTGGTGAGTGAACTTGGAGGACCTAGTTCATTTCTCTAATCCTGGGTGTTCCCAGCAATTCTATTTCTCACATTGTCTTGAGAATTACAATGAAAAGTTCTCAAAAAGCAAACGTTGGAATTCTGCTATTGACAAGTACTCAGTTTAACTGTATTGATCTTCAAAGGCCACAGTAAGTGACAGCATCACCCACATGTCAGTCAGCCAACTGAGATTCAGGGAGCTCTAGGGAGTCACCTGGAGATTCATAGGTTGGGACCCCACACTGAGGGGTCAGTGCCCACAGCACCTGCCTCCCTGCAGGTGGGTCAGGAAGGTCGTAAAAGCCCAATCAGAGCATCCCAAAACAAACGTGCTTGTGGGCTCTGTGGGTGTGATGGGTGCCTGGCCTGGAAATGACTCTGCAAGTACAGGTGGGGGTTGCCTAAGTCCAGGAGGGTCCACGCACACCTGCTGCATTGAGAATGGGTACCTTAGCATTGGCCTTGTCCAATAGCTGAGAGGAAAAAATACACCTTATACCCACTGTACAGAGAAAACTAAAGTCCAGACAAGAGAAAAAGATTACTTTGTGGAAGGAAAGCAAGAATTTAAGAAAATTCCTGGGCAAGTGGATTGGAAAAACTGAGACAACAAAATTAAACAAGGCCAGAGTTTGAGCAACTCACAGCCACCTGGTGAATAACATAACTTCATCTCCTCTAACCAAGGACACTCAAGAGCAAATGGTTTCTCTCTCTCATCCCTAAGCAGAGAATACATACTGGTCAGGGAAATAGAGAACAGAGATTCAATTAATGTCATTTGTGGTCAAGGGAACACATTTTTAAAATGCCATTAAAAGCCAGACAGACCCTATATAAAAGTAAACAATATAGTCAATTAAGTATTCCCAAACCTCCCTTACGCATTTTTGATGCATCAGCATGTTAAAAATGCACCTGGAAAGCTAATGAATAATGAATATTCTGCTGAAACCCTCCCCTGAGATTGTCACCTGCAGAAGAGACAAATAAAAAAAGCCCCCAGGACAAGGACTCAGAGAGCAGGCTTTGGTCCACAGCATGTCCATGCCCCATCCCATGCATGAACTTTTTACTTCTTCAAAAACTCTTAAGGGTCCCCAGACTTGCACCCTTGGAACCAGCAGGCAGCAGCTGGTTGACCCAGGTCACTACCTGATTCTGTATCCAAGGCCGTTTTCTCTGCCTTGAGCAGCCCTGCCTTGGCTTGCTTCTTTCCTACAAATTTTGTAGAAAGCCATAGCAGAGCACCGCCTAGGCTCTCTCCTGTTACTTTCTGAACCCTAAATCCTTCCTCTATTTCACTGTCCTCACCCTTAATATACTCTGAAAATCACCTGGACTTCTGTTTTCAAACCTTTTCTACACAAAGTTAAAATCCCACATACTACAGGCTGCCTAAAGCAGACGAGCTCTGGGTTAAGTACTGCCCTGTAACAATTTGACTGAGTCCCAATGACATTTTTAGAAATCGGGGATTCAGAGCCAAGGTGCCTGACCCTGAGCATAAGTCTGATCACAGCTTATTTTCCTCTGAACTGAGCTTTCTGAGTCCAAACCACCCTGCTCATTCTGATACCATCCAGTCTTCTTTAGAAACCTGTTCCAACCCAAGAACCAACATGATAAAAGACAAAAAAAAAAGGGGGGTAACACTACAGAACAAGGACTTACTATCAAAAGACCAGACTTCTAAAAGTCATGGAGAATATTAATACTGGAGGTTACAATAAAGGATGTCCATTACACTATACAAAGCATGAAAATAAAAATATTCAAAATTCATTCCAGCTTTTTTCCTCCTGTCAGGCACAAGTGGAGTGAGGCAGAGTGTGAGTTTCCCGACGGCTTTACTGCAAAGATGGTCTATGTGCCTAAAACCCAAAGAATTTTCTGTTAAGTGTGGAAAGCACCAGCCTCACGAAGTGACCCAGTATACGAAGGGCAAGGATTCCTTGTACACCCAGGAAAAAAGGCTCTATGATCGGAAGCAGAGTAGCTACAGTGGGTAAACAAAGCTGATTTTCTGGAAGAAGGCTAAAACCACAAAGATTGTGCTGAGGCTTGAATGTGTTGAGCCTAACTGCAGATCCGAGAGGATGGTGGCCATTAAGAGATGCAAGCATTCTGAACTGGAAGGACATGAAGAGAAGTGGCCAAATGATCCAGTTCTAAGCTTCGAGATTCTTTTGTTCTTTTATTTTCAAAAGACAAATGTTGAAGCAGTAGAAAAACTACCTGAATGAAAATAAATGCAGTGATATTCTTACTCATAAAAAAAATTTCATTCCAATACAACCATTTTTTAATACGGTAAAAAAAAAAAAAAAAAAAAAAAAAAAAGGCAACAAATGGAGTGAAATTCCAACATTCATCTTTATTTTTCTGTCCTTTTGTTATAGAAAACTGCAAAAACTCGTATCAGATTAGGCAGATGATAGGATCAGGCACCTAAGTGAAGACACACACATAGCAAATACACATCTTAGAAAAGACATACCATAAATGGAGGAAAAGATTCAGGGAGTAAGAAGCATAAATAGTAGGTACAAAATAGACAAGGGGAGTTTAAGAATAGTATAGGAAATGGAGAAGCCAAAGAACTTATATGCAGGACCCATGGACATGAAATAAGGGGTGGAGATGCTGGGAGGAGGTGGGGTGCAGGGCAGAGGGGAATAAAGGGAAGAAAGAAAATGGGGCAACAGTAATAGCATAATCAATAAAATATACTTAAAAAAAGGCTCACCATAAATCCTTAGAAAAACACAATGAAGTAGCACTACAATGTTCAGAAACTTTAAATAAAAGACTTACCAACAAAATATTCACTAAGATACAGAGATTGAATCTCAGTCAAAATACAAAAAAAAAAAAACTGTTTAAATAATAAATCACCACCCTCTGTAAACATTCACCTACCATATGAAGCAGCATGTGCAGTTAAAGAATTATTCACAAATTTATACCATTTAATGTCAAAAATTAAAAATAACCAAATTGAATGGATCGTCAGTGATATATTCAAAAATAAGAATATTCTCAGCAAAATGATGAGCCTTTAATATCAGCAAGTCTCCATATTTACAACACAATGAAAGCAGAAAAAATCAACCTCATAATGTAAAATTAAGAAATTGCAAAGTTATTAGGATGGAATGTAATGTTTACTTAAGAGTTTTGAAAGGCTGTAAGAAATAAAAAAGGCCATGAAATAAATTCCCAGTGACAGATATGATCAGTTTTATGACTGTGGTGGTGGTTTCATTTTCATGCATTTGTGAGGACTGACCCACTATTATACTTCAAATATGAGATACACTAAACTTTTTTAAATGGCAAGATTTAAGAAAATGCGTATTCCCAAGTCCTTCTGGAAATAGGTTTGGCAACTGTGTATTCAACCTATGTTTTCATGTGCTCTGGGACAGACTTTGCCTCAGTGACAGCAAATACAACCAACAATAAAAAATCTCTCACTCAAACCATCAGAAATGCTGGCTGGGTCAAAAAATTAACATCCATCAAGTATAGATCTTTTTTTTAATTTTTCTTTTCTGACAGTGCACCAGAGACCCTGATGTGAACATCGACCTGAGGTGACAAAAATCCACAAGTTTTTAAAATTTTATTTATTGAGTTTACAGAAGCAGGGAAAGAGGAAAATGTGCATTTGTTGTTCTGCCTACATGTGCATTTATTTTTTGCTTTTTGTATGTGCTATGATTGAACCTGGAACCTTAGCATATCAAGATGACACTCTAACCAACAGCTATCCAGCCAGCCCCACAAAACCTTTTACTTATATTCAATGACAATGACTGAGTCAAAAGTACAGAGATATTCTTGCCGATCTTGCGGTTTGTGTACACACCAATCCTGCAGTTTTTTTCTCAGAAACGTATCCGGGTGCATGCTCCATCTGGTTAACTAATTTCCACTAGCACATGTTAGGCGAGTATTTGTTGTAATTACAGTTTCTCCTAACCCCTGTGTGGCTACTAGTGACCGTCACCAACGGAATTGCAGACATTATGGTACGTGACCCTTTGGAAGACCTGGGCCAGCAGTTCCCTTCAATAGCACTGGCATCCTTGCAAACAAGGAAAAAACTCACGGTGTTCCCAGGCGTACCTGAGGTTGTTTTAGCTACCCCTCTCTGCAGTGATCTTTGTGTCTCCTAAAACTCTAAGCACTCAAGCTTCACATGAAAAATAGAGAACCCACAGTCTTGCCTAAGTGGATGTTGGCACCAATGCAAATTTGGAAAATACAGTTACCTTCTGCACCAAAATGTCCCAAATGGAGGCAAAGTTACCTCTTCATGGTTGTAGGGCCCAAATCTGCTTATAGAGTACCCCACTTCATAAATAGAACACTCAGGACTAAACAAGACTTAGAAAACAGGCCATTATTTTACAAATCAAGTGGAGATGTGCTTGGCAGTTCTTGTATGGGAGATTTGGGACACTCAAAAATGTATCACTGATACCTACGAAAAACATGTCCCTGAAAACGGCAGTCCTTCTGCAAGGTGACAGCTGAACTCAGATGTTTTCTGGGCCAATACCACGTCAGGTCAATGTGCCAACAGGTAGGAGTGAAAGGAACCAAGACTTAAACACTAAGGCAACTCCTAACTTTCTCCAACAAATCAGAGAGAACAATGACCTTCTGTGAGCACGTTAGAATGGTGACTGAGGTAATCTGTGGGAACCTTATAGTGCCAGGTGAAATAGTGCCAGCAAAACAGGCAGTGACATGGACCTGGCAAGACACCTGGATAAATTAGAAAGTGCAACATAGAAACACAGGCTTACTGTATAAAACAAATGTATGAGGACTCTCCCTACTGTTGACTACTGGATGTATGAGATTCAATTTAGGCAAACAAAGCTTAAAGAGTTTCCTATAGTTTAAAATTTTTAAGCTCAAAATTTAAAAAACCCAAATAGTACATTTATGGCACATCTAAGACCTTCTACCCACATTAACTCTTCTGTGGAGATTAAAATTTTGGCCAAATGATTTCCAACATCAACTGTACTCACAAGGCCCTTCTCCTCTATGAAGTGTCTGAGAGCAAAGGCCAGTACAGGTGGTGAAAGATTTCCTACCTGCACTGCATTCATAAGTTCTTTCTCCAGTGTGAAATTTGGAACAAAAGTCAGCGTTACTATAAAAAGATTACCTACATTCATTGGACTCATAAGGCCTTTCTCCTGTATGAAATCTCTGATGATAATGAAGGGAATAGATTGTAGTATAAGATTTCCCACATTCACTACACTCATAAGGCCTTTCTCCAGTGTGAAATTTCTGATGATATCTGAGACCACTGCGACTGATGAAAGATTTCCCACATTCACTGCACTCATATGGCCTTTTCCCAGTGTGAACACTCTGATGGCAACGAAGGTTATGCATACTGGTAAAAGATTTCCCACACTCACTGCACTCATAAGGCCTTTCTCCAGTGTGAAATCTCTGATGATACCCAAGGCCACTGCGACTAATAAAAGATTCCCCACATTTGTTGCACTCATATGGCCTTTTCCCAGTGTGAACACTCTGATGGCAACGAAGGTGATGGATTCTGGTAAAAGATTTCCCACATTCACTACACTTGTAAGGCCTTTCTCCTCTGTGAAATCTCTGATGATAAAGAAAGCCAGTGCTACTGCAAAAAAGTTTCCCGCATTCAGTGCACTCATAAGGCCATTCTCCAGTGTGAAATCTCTGATGACAACGGAGGCCACTACGACTGGTAAAAGATTTCCCACATTCACTGCACTCATAAGGCCTTTCTCCAGTGTGAACTCTCTCATGACCACGAAGGTGATGGATTCTGGTGAAAGATTTCCCACATTCACTGCACTTATAAGGCCTTTCTCCTGTATGAACTCTCTGATGATAATAGAGGCCACTACTACTGGTAAAAGATTTCCCACATTCACTGCATTCATAAGGCCTTTCTCCAGCATGGACTCTCTGATGATAACGGAAGCCAGTAGTACTGGTAAAAGATTTTCCACATTCACCACACTCATAAGGCCTTTCTCCAGTGTGACGTCTCTGATGATAACGAAGGTGATCAATTCTGGTAAAAGATTTCCCACATTCACTGCACTCATAAGGCCTTTCTCCTGTGTGAACTCTCTGATGATAACGGAGGCGAGTGCTGCTATTAAAAGATTTCCCACATTCGCCGCACTCATAAGGCTTTTCTCCAGTGTGAACCCTCTGATGATAACAGAGGCCAGTATTACTGCTAAAAGACTTTCGACATTTACTGCACTTATAAGGTGTCTCTCTAGTGTGAACTCTCTGAGAGTAATAAAAACTAGAAATGCTGGTGAAATATTTTCCACATTCACAACACAGAAAACACTTTCTTCCAGTACAAACACTCTTGTTCTGAAGAAACGTGTGGTTGCAGCCAATGGCTTTTTTATATTCACTCTGGGGGTAATCACTTTTTCTTTGAATAGTGACCCCAGACATCGAGGTTTCATTTGGCTTGTCCCCAGTGTGAGTAGACTGTTGTTGGACATGTCCTGAAGTGGTGAGGATGCCCTGCCCAACCTTCCCGCATATCAAAAGCTTCTGGGAAACATTGAAATTGCAGCTGTTCGCAAGTAGATTACTGTCCGCACCTCTTGTGAAAAGGTTCTCTCCAACATGGGGCTCTTGCTGCTCATCCCATTTTCCACTGAAATAAAATCGTTGTGCACATGCTCCACACCTCAACAGCTTCTGGCTGTGTTGTGTTTCCTGATGCTCAAACAAGTGGAAAATGTGTCTCAAGACGGGCCCACAACTCTCACAGGGGTGGCTCTTTTGGGAAGATGAAGCTATGTTGGGATTCTTTGCCTGAGACACTCCTGCCGAAATGTTCTGTTCAATTGGTGCTTCCACATCCTCTGCTCCACAGCAGCAACCTGAACAAAAGGACACGCTGGTGAAGTATATGTTGACCTTTCAAAGAAGGAACATCCTCATCACACACGGCTGTCACAGCTAGACATGACTGTATGAAATGATATTCAAAAACAAGTGAGACTGAAGAAATTATCTGTTATACTTTACTTGGCCCCAAAGGTCAGTGAGTGGTGGAGACCTCACCAAGGGAGAGACAGGAGTATAGGATGGGACACAGAGAAGAGAGTTGGGGTCTACAAGTGGTCCCTCCACAAATGGCTTCCTGTAGGACTTTCCTGCTGGTGATGTGAGGGTGTGTAGAATAATTTGAATGAGTCAAACCCATGAACATCCATTGTGCTACAGCTTATGATGTTCCAGGTCAATATAAATCAAAGTTGGAGTGAAGTAAAAAGGAACCTATAAGAAAAACGGTTGAAGTACAAAGTTTAGAGAAGGAAAGATTTAACATGGGCTGGGAATCAAAGTACAACTGAGACCATCCAACTGCGTAGTTGACAAAGTGTAAACAATAAACACGAATAAGTAGATGAGATGAGGCCTGGTAATGGTATCAAAATACTATTCAACAAAATGGGCTCCTAGTTATAACCTTAAGAAACCCCTGGCATCAAACCCTCTCCAGCAGCCCATCACCAAGGCAAGACAGCCTCTGAGTCCATCCTGTCATGGACGGAATATGGAATCCTGTTTTTCCTGGGATGCACAAATGATTATCCCCCTTAAATCCCAGTTGAGACAGATGGCCAGCACTGTGGTAGAACAACAAAGCACAAAAGAGACTACAGAAAAAGATGTATGTGAGTGACTTCAGCAAGACAGGAGAATGAGAAATACAAGAATTCGTCCTTTCCCAGAGCAAGGAGAAAACCATCCTAAAACAAAATCAACCACGTGGGAAGGGAAAAAGAATCCAGTTATGACAAACAGGAAATTAGCCATGACTGGATTGCTCTGTTGGATACAGGGTTGTCCTGATATGCTGAGGTTGTGGGTTCAATCCTTGGTCACTGCACATATAAGAAGCAACCAATGAATGCATAAATAAGTGAAACGACAAATCTCTGTCTTTAAAAAATAAAAAAGACAAGCAGCAAAGCAAAAGAGCAAAATACAGAGAAGAGCATAGAAAGGATGACTGGGGTTAGGGTTAAGGTTACCAAACATATTTGAAGATAGCTAGGGTCAAAAACAAGGGTCAGAGTTACCTCTATCAACCACTGTGATTGTGCTAAGGTTGACCTTAGTAGACAGTTCTGTGAAACACACTGTAAATTTTTGTTTTTAAGAACCACAGAAGCCCCTGCAACGTCTGTGAACTCCCCACAGTTTATACATCAGAGGACCCTACAGAGTTTCTTGGCACAAAATCCAAGTTCTTCATCCACAACCTAGTCCAGGAAGAAAAAAAAATCAGTATGTCTCCAGCAGTATATTATTAAAGTTGTCCCACTTTTTCCCTCTTCACACCTTTTACCCAGCCCAACCCCCATGCCATTATCCACGTCCATAGGTCCTTCATGTATGTTCTTTGACTAATCCCTTCACCATTATTCAATTAGTCTTCACCTCCCCGCTCCCCTCTTACAGATTTCAATCTATGCCATGATTCTATGTCTCTGGTTCCATTCTGACCTCAGCTCATGTAGCATCAAGGAGACTAGGCTACTGGGACTTGTTTCAACCTTGACCCTCCCAGGTAACACCTTTGAATCCACATGCAGATGAATCTATTTCACTAGACAAGGATTGTTCCACAAGGCTGGAAAGGAGTAATTGCTTCATCAAATGCACAGACATCCATACAGGATTTTTAAAAATACTTAAAACAAGGACACCACAAAGAAATTATAGTAACTTTCCAATTAGCAATGCCAAACAAATGTAGATCTACATACAGCCTATTAAGAAATCCAAAATATTTACTTTTTAAAAAATTCATGGACCTCCAGAGGTTAAAAATAGAAACTTAAGAAACCAACACAAGAAGGAAAGAATATCAAAGAAAAGTTAAATAATAATGAAACAGAAATGCTTGAGTCAACAAATTACAATGAACAAAATAAAAAATGCAATAAAGAGAATCAAAGGCAGACATGAAAAATGTCACGTCAAAGACAGGCCATTTATAAGCATCCAGGTAGAGAGAAATAAATAGGGGAAATAAATTTTAAAAATTCAGTGAGGTGAATCAAGTAACACCATCAAGATAAATGATATTTGCATGATGGGAATCCCAGGAAACACAGAGGGTGGTGGTGGTGGTGGTGGTGGTGGTGATGGTGGGTAGAGGCAGAGAGGAGAGGAAGAAAAGCAGAAATAAAAGTAGAACATTTACTTTTAAAAAATAAGCTGAAGACTGACTTCCAAAGTCTGAAAAAGAAATGTGAATAATTAAGGGCACGCAGTCTCACAGGTCTCTGTACAGATTTAATATAAAGTGGACTTCACCAAGACACAGTAAAATGAAAGTATGAAAGATCAAGGTAAGAGAACTGTGAAAGCAGAAAGTAGAAACTCCTCGTACACAGGGGAACACCTGACTAAGGGTATCAGTAGATTCCTCTGAACAAAACTTGCCAACTAGAAGAAAATAAAATAATAATATGCAATACACTAAATGGAAACCATCAATATTTTATCCAGAAAACCTGTCCTTCAGAAAGACTTTCCCAAATAAACAAAAGCTGAGGAACTTCACTACAACCTAGCAGGACTTAAAAAGTCCTTGAAGATGAAATGAAAGAATACTAAATAGAAACTCAAATACATAGGAAAGTGTAAATCTCAGTACTAAATCGACCATAAAATAAATTCACTATATTGTGACTTTGGTGAAATGTACATTGTTTTATAAAGGTTAAAAATTAAAACTTGTAAAAATAATAAAGCTAACATTGTGTACCTTAATAGATACACAAAATGAAAAAGTATGATTTGTGACATCAAAAACATATAAACGGATGTGTGGCAGAGATTCAAAAAGTAGAATTTATGCATGCAACTGAAGGTGTTATCAAAATAAGACTGATCGTGCCCTCACAGTGTAGCTCAGTTTGTAGAGTATCATATCGCAAAACAAAAGGACGCTGGTTCAATTCTGGTCAGGGCATTTGCCTGGGTTGTGGCTGGTCTTGTTTCCGGCAGGTCCCAGGTTGGGGTATGTGCGAGAAGCAATCAAAGATATTCTTCTCGCACATTGATGTTTCTCTCCCTTTCTTTCCCCCTCACTTCCCCTATCTCTAAAAATAAACACATTGTAAAGAGTATGAGTTCTTTAAGTAAATCTTTTGGAAATCACAAGCAAAAAGAATGTAATATATACACACAAAAGAGAAAGGATTCAAACCACTATACAGAATCATCAAATCACAAAGCAAGCGTGTTTCCCTAGTGCAGTGGTTATCATGTTCGCCTAACAAAGCAAGACCATGAGAATAAAAGAGAAACAAAGGAACTGAAAAAGTGACAGAAACCAATGAAGAAGTGGCAATATTAGCTTCTTAAACAAATTCTTTAAACAAGATAGTGACTGAAGAGATTTAAAAAAATCAACAACAAAACCTCAATATATGCTTCCTACATGACACACTAAATTTTTATGGACACAAACAGGCTGAAAATAAGGGAATGGCAGGGATCGCTATAATTCTATCAGACTAAACAAACCACCTCAAAACCTGTCTCAAGAGACTAATGCCATCACAAAATGATAAATGAGTCAATTAACCAGGAGGATAACAATTTTAAGCACTAAACAAGAGAGCAACCTAATATACTGTATTAGGCAAACAATATCAATGTGAAAGCAGAAAAAGAAACCAAATATTAGTAGGTAACTTCAATATTGCCCCTTCAACAATAGGTAGATCACCCATTCAAAAGCAAAAAGGAATTACTGAAGACTGACTACAGCTTAGAACAATCAGTACTAATAATTATATTCAGAACATTCCATCCAAAAGTGGCAGAAGATGCATTCTTGTCAGGCACATGTGAAACACTTTCTAGGTAGTCTGCCTGAGACACTCCAACAGAAACATTCATATGTTAGGTCAAAAACCAAGCCTCAAACTTTGAGGGGAAAAAAATCACATCAAGTATTTTATTAGATCACAATGTATGAAACTAGAAATCAATTTCAGTTTCAAGACTGTTTGAAAATTCACATATATGTTAAAATCCAAAACATGCCTGGACAAAGAAAAGTACAAAGAAAGAACTAAAAAATATCTAGAGGCATATGAAATTAAAACATAATCAATGATTATGTATAAAATGCAGAAAACGCAATTCTAAGAGGAAATTCTATAGTGATATCTACATTAAGAAAAAAGATCTGAAATAAACAACCTAAGCCTTGCACCCCAGAAAATGAAAAATGCAACATGAAAGTAAATCCAAAGCTAGCAAAGAAAAAATAAACAATAAATATTAGAAGGAACATAAAGGAAAGAGACAAAAGACGAGAATATCATTACTAAGAGCTATTTTTTGGAAGATACACATAATTGGCAAACGCTTAGCAACATTAAAACAAAAGAAACAGGATTCAGATAAATTGAAAGAAATGTAAGACATTATACCTGGCAGTACGAACCACAAAGCATTTTAAGAGATGTTGGCAGCTGACACGAACAATCAAGATCTCACTATAAACTTCTGAAATTAATAAACATATTCAGAGCCTTGGCCGGAGAGCTCAGTTGATGAGAGTGTGGTCCTGATCCACCAAGGTTTTGGGTTTGATCCCCTGGCAAGGCACATGCAGGGAACAGCCAATGAATGTACCAATGGTGGAACAGCAGATCAATGTTTCCCTTTCACTCTGTATCCCTTTCTTTTTCTAAAATCAATAAACAAAAATTTTTAAAAATATGCCCTGAGTAGTGTGGCTCAGTTTGCGGGGCATCATTCTGGGAACGTGCCTGAGTTGTAGGTTCAGTCTCCAGTCCCAGGACCTACAAGAGACAACTGATCCTTGTTTCTCTGTCTCTCTCCCTCTCTTTCTCCCTCCCTTCTCTTTCAAAGAAAAAGAAGGAAAATAAATAAATAAATAAATAAATAAAAATATGTATCTCAGTTCCATTTCAAAATAGTAATAATAAATTCTTTCATAAAGAAATAAAGAGCCATGCATGGCCAGACAGCTCAGCTGGTTACAACCCAGTCCCATACACCAAAAGGTTGTAGGCACAATTCGCGGTCAGAACACACAATTATAACTAGGTTGCAGGTTGGGCATAAATGGGAGGCAACAGATCGATGTTTATCCCTCCCTCTTTAAAATCAATATATATATTCTAGGGTCAGGACTAAAAACAAATGAAGAAAGTCAAATTTACAACAGCATCAAAAACAATAAAATACTCAGGAATATATTCAACCAGCAAGGTAAAATGCCTGTACACTGAACACTATGAGACAGTAATAAAAGAAAAGGAAGACGAATGTAAAGATAGCTGGTGTTCTTGGATTTGAAAATTTAATATTGTTAAAATGTCTATACTACTCAAATCAGTCTACAGATTAAATGCAATTTCTATGATAAGCCCAGTGATATTTTACACACAAATGAAAAAAGAACACTGAAATGCATGGGATCCCAAAAGACTTCGAATAGCAAAAGCAATCCTGAGCAAGAACAAACCTGGTGGCATCACCCTTTCAGACATCAATCTATTACAAAGCCACAGCAACCAAACAGTGTGTTACTGGAATAGAAACACAGACCAACGGAACAGAACAAAGAACGCAGAAATAAATACTGAGTTCTACTAATCTTTAACAAAAACCTCAAGACATATAAAAAAGAAAAGACAGTTTCCTCGATAAATGGTGCTGGGAAAACTGGATATTCACAAGTAAAACAAAACTGGACACCACTGATAAAAATTAGCTCAAACTTCATAAAGAATTAAATGTCAGTCCTAAAACTTAAAACTCCTTCAAGACAATTTAGAGAAGAAGCTTTGGAGATTTGTTTTGGAAATGATTTTCCTGGATATGAAAACCACCACACAAAAAAGCAAAAATAAACAGCCTGGACTACAACAAATGAAAAAGCTTCATGATAAAACAGCAATTAACATAATGAAATAAAAAGGCAACCTACAGGATTAGAGGAAAACACTTGCAAATCATATGAAGGTATCACTTGGAGTTATTGTGGGCTCAGTTCAGAAAACTACGATAAATGGAGTAGCGCATACAGAAATTCACGAAATTTTTTTTATTTCCCAGTAAATAATAAAATTATGTTAAACTATACAGCATGCTATTTTTTTAAAATTTTATTTATTTACTTTTTTTTAGAGAGGAGGGGAGGGAGAAAGAGAGGGAAAGAAACATCACCATGAGAGAGAATCCTCCATCGGATGCCTCAGGTACACATCTCAAGGTGACCAACCAAAACCCAGGCATGTGCCCTGACAGGTAATTGAACTGGGGACCCTTCACTTTGCAGGACTACACCCGACCTATTGAGCCACACGGGTCAAGGCCGTATTGTAGGCTATTAACAATGCAATACCTTTTTTTAAAAAAAACAAAAACAAAAACAAATAAACCACCAACCAAACCTCTACATAATTAAAAATAGTTTATCACCAAACACTGGTTATCAGAAGCTAAGCCTGCAGGAAAAAATGACGACACTAGACTTGCTGAATGCAGGGTTGTCAAAAACATTGAATTTGTAGAAAGAATGAATGGAAAGAGAGAGAGCGAGAGCAAGAACACCACAATATCTGCAAAGCACTATTAAGAAAATGCAAAAATACGTGTACCTGTATGTGAAAAGGAATTAATATATAAAGTATACAAAGGATTCATTAGCCAAAAAAATATGTACAAATGACCAACAGGAATAGAAAAAATGTTCTTTCTCACTAATCCAGGTGGTATCCAAAGGCTCCCTGCAACACTACTAACCATAAATCCTTCCCTATGAGTTCAGTACAGCAGGCACTGGGACTGCAGGGAGACAAAAGGACGTGCAAACAAACCAGGCCTACTGTGCAAAGCAACTACCCATTAAACTGGAAAATCAAGCAGAGCTTGCAGTCCATCTGTGAGAGAGCACCCCCTACAGAGCAGGAGGCATGGGAAACGCAAAGACTAAGTCCACATCGCTGGTGTGACTGAGGGTCTTACCCAGGGAGGATATAAGTTCAAAGTTCTCCAGCATCACATCCAGGTACAGGCGTCTCTGATCCTCACCAAGGAGGCGCCATTCTTTCCTGGAGAAGTACAGGGCAATGTCCGCAAAGGTCACACCAACCTGTCAGAATTGAGACAAATGAAACCAGAGTAGTCTTTCTAAGGACATTTTCGTATCTTCTGCTCGCTCATCCTCTTCCGGGGCTCCACAGTGCTGGCTGCTCTCTCATCACAGTCCCATTAATCACTGTCATCGCCTTCAGCAATAGCTGAGTTGGGGGGTGGGGGGACTGTGGATAAATGCCATCTAAGCTCTGGGCCTGCAGGGCCCCCATCCTTCCCAACAAACAATTCCACTGAGTGTCCCAGATCATGACCCCAAGACGCAGCCAAACATGGGTTCATGCTTCACCCTTAAATCCCCATACACACCAGGTCCCCAGGACCATCAGCTCACACTTCCTCTAGTTGTGCACACCATTGTGCAATGAATGTCTGCCTCCTCTACATCTTCGGACTCCAGGTTCACTCCCTCAGCTCTGCTATCTTCCTGCACCATATCATGAGCATCTCTCTGGACTCACCCATGAACTAGGCCTATGGCATCCAGAGTGCTTGGTAAGTTCCAGAAGGATCCAGCACAACTACAGTTTCCTGATGGATCCCACAGCCCGGCAAAGCCCCGCATGAGGCCCTGAAGTCTTCCCTGCCTGCCTCTGATCTTTGCTTCAATATTCGTACCCAGATCCGCTTGAAAATTTCAGATACGAATAAGCTCTGTCCAACTGCACTGTACTTGCTGTGTCCTCAAAAGCCACAACATGCTGTCTCCACTGAGCCTTCGTCACAGTCCTCCACGCGGGCCTGAGCTGCAGGGCCTGACGGGCGTCTCGCACCCGAGGCCGTAGTGTCCACTGCGGTGAGGCGGTGAGGGCGAGGGCGGGGTTGGGCGACCAGGGCGTCCACTCACCTCAGCCTGGCGCTTCAGCGTGTCCGCCGCCATTATATTCTGCTTGCTGAGTGGAGCGCAAGTGTCCGGAGAGAAGGTCGCCCCGGGCGCGGCGGCTCCAGTCCCGTCCCTGGCGCGGGTCACCCGAGCAGCTTTGGCGAGCTCCTTACTCGTGTGTGCCCTGTAGACCCCGACCCTCGCGCCTTCTCCGTCCCTGTGTCTTTGCCAGGAACCAGTGATGTGGAGCCTCCCCCCACGTTGAGGGGACTCTGAATAAAGACAAAATGCCTGCGGTGAGGACACCGGAAGTCCCACCCTCTGCATTGTGCCCTAACAGGGATGCCTTTCCTGACCCTTCATTGGCTAAGCCTGGCGGTGTTCCACTCACAGGTCTTCTGGGTACTGCCGATCCGAGGGGACGATCAAGAGTTTTCCCACATCAATTCTGCAGAAAGGCTGCGATCCACCGTCAAGGGAGCTGGGAAATAACACGCACTTATGAAAGAGACAATTTGAAAATTGCTGAAGTTGTCATCTTTTCATCGAGAAGGGTCTTAAATTCATGCTGATGAAAACCCATTTTCTGTGAGCCCAATATACTGAGTCGTAACAAAAGAGGTGTATACCTGCCTTACAGAGTCTGGAAAATTTTATCACACTGATGTCCTACTAACACCATCATCTATGTATGCGACAAATATAACACAAGAATGTAGGACACACCTTTAAAATAAAAAGCATATACATAATATAAACATTAAATGGAAATCTGTAATTTGAACATCAATTAAGGTAAATTTTTTAAAAAATCAGAGAATTGAATTCTGACAAATTTATTGATGTTTTTGTTATGTTAAAAATGTTATTGTAATTATCATGAAAAAAAATTGTCCTTCACAGCCATTAAGACAGCAGGTGAGATGATGTCTCAGTCATTCTCAATGTGATGAGATTATGAACGTATTTATAAATTATGTTTAGAGTAAATTAAGTCTGTATGCATAATGAAACGACCTATGTATAGCTCAAAAACTTTTTAAAAATCACATGAAATATTATAACAAGTATGGGTATACATATATGCAATGAATATTAAATATCAACAATTCTGTAAGGAGATTTTGTTTAAAAATTCATAGCAAACATGACACTGAAATATAAGCCAAAGTTTGAAAAACATTAAAACAGGAATGAGCCCTGACTGGTGTGGCTCAGTGGATTGAGTGCCGGTCTGTGAACCGAGAGGTCGCTGGCTCGATTCCCTGTCAGGGCATATGCCTGGGTATTGGGCCAGGTCACTAGTTGGGGACATGCAAGAGGCAACCAACTGATGTTTCCCCTGCACACTGACATTTCTCTCCCTCTCTTCCTCTTCCCCTGTCTGAAAATAAGTAAAATGTCTTTAAAAAATGAAAAATATTAGAATATACTATTTTAATACAGAAAAAATGTATTCCATAAAGCAAAAAGGCATCAAATGAGTCAAACATCAACATGCATCTTTGTTTTTTCTCTCTGTTTTAGTAAACTGCCAAAACTTGTATCAGACTAGGCAGAACATACCAGATTTTTTTTGTTTTTTAAAAAATTTTATTTATTTTTAGAGAAAGGGGAAGGGAGGGAGAAAGGAGAGAAACATCAATGTATGGAGGTACATTGATTGGTTGCCTCTCGCATGTTCCCAACTGGGGATCCAGCATGCAACCCAGGCATGTGCCCTGACTGGGGATTGAACCAGCAACCTGACAGTTCACGGGCCAGCACTCAGTCCACTGAGCCACACCAGCCAGGACATGATCAGATATTTTACCAAACATACAGAGATAGCAAATACACATCTGAGAAAAGCCTTACCCATGAATCCTTAGGGAAATACAATCAAACAACATGGAGGTAGCACAACAAAGTTATAAAAAAATTTAAATAAAGAAAAATTGACCAAATATTCTTTTGGATGTGGGGAAATTAAATCCCTCATAAACTGCTAAAAAAATGTAAAAAGGTACAATCAGTTTAGATTACAATTTGCTAATTTCTCTAAACTAAACATTCACCTACAGGCCAGTTTGGACATTGCATTGTGAGTTTGACAAAGGTAAATGAAACATATCCATATAGAGGATTATACACCAATGTTTTTACCAGCTTTGTTTTTTGATTTTTTGAGATTTTATTTATTTTTAGAGAGAGGGTAAGGTGGGGAGAAAGGGAGAGAAACATCAATGTGCAAGAGAAACACCAATAGGTTGCTTCTCACACACCCTCAAACAGGGACCTGGCCCACAACACAGGCATGTGTCTGGGCCAGGAATCGAACCAGCAACCCTTTGGGGTTTGTGGGACGACACCCATCCCACTGATCCACACCAGTCAGGGCACCAGCTTTGTTTTTAATACTCAAAAACTAGAAATAACTCAATGCCCACAAACAAATGAATGGATAAACTCGTAGTGACATATTCAAAGAAAAGAATATTTCTCAGCAAAAAAAAAAAAAAAAAAGGAAAAGGATCTACTAAGTGTTAATGCATCATAAATGAAAGCAGGAGAAATAATTTGATTCCTATCATATAAATTCTAGAAAATGCCAAGTTATATATTAAAATAGAATACATATCAATGATGGAGAAGAGAGAATTCATAAAAGGACATGAAGTAAATAGAGTGACAGATGATCAGTATTATGACTATTTGTGGTCTTTAGTTTTATGCTTAGGTCAAGAATCATGAAAGGCTGTACTTGAAATATAGTATTTTACTACATGTCTGTTATAACATACTAATGCTTATTAAAAGGGGTCCGAGATAAAAAATAATTTACATGTACAACTCTGGAAAATGTTTGGCAACTCTATATTCAATCCACATTCTCATGCCCTCTAGGGGTCAGCCTTGTCTCAGCCACAGCAAATGCAGCAAACACTAAAGGACATTCACCCAAATCAATAGGAATGCTGGCTGAAATGCAAAAGCCACACCATCCTGTGGCTTTTTTGGCTGGCCCAGTCAACTGGCTGGCTGGCTCAGTTAACTGGAGCATTATCCCATACCTCTAAAAGGTGGGTTCGATTCCTAGTCAGGGCACATACATAGGTTGCAAGTTCAGTTCCCAGTTGGGGTGCATACGGGAGGCAACCGATCAATGTTTCTCTCTCACAACTACATTTCTTTCTCTTGCTCTCTCCCTTTCTTTCTCTCTAAAATCAATAAAAAAACCATATCCTCAGGTGACGATTTTTTTAAATAACCATATATCCCTAGATTATAGATACACCTTTTCTTTGTCTTTGATTTCCTGCCTGGTCACCAATGGTCTAAAATTAACATCTGAAGGGCCACAGATATCTTCAAAGAATTTTAAAATTCTCAATGGTGACTTTGGCCTCGTCAGACAAACATACTTGGAGATCTTTAGATTTCTGTATACAGTCTCTTAGAAATATTTCTGGGCACACTTTGAAAAGAGGCACATTCCATCTAGTTAGCTGCAGTCTCCTCGAATCCCCATTAGGCCTGTGTTTCTGTAGCAATCATGGTTTCCCCTAACCTCTATGGTCATACAATTGTTACCAGATACGAACTGACCTGAGCAGGTCTGCCCCAGGCTGGCCTGTAGTGTGTGGGTTCTTGACTTTGTGTAGGGAAGATTTCACAACCTAAGTCCAGATGATTTTGAGAGTACGTTTTTTAAGGCCTGAGACAGTGAAACAGAGGAAGGGCTTAGGGTAGAAGAAGTAACAAGAGGGAGCCTCGTGGTACTCTGCTTCAGCTCCCTAGAAATGTGATAGGAAAGACGTAAGCCAAGGCAGGGCTGCTTTTAGCTCAGTGGGAAGTCGGAGAAAACCAGGCCTTGGAGATGGGATCAGGGGATAAGCCTAGGTCGAACGGCCACTGCCTGATGCTCCCTGGGCTGTGAGTCTTGAGGGGTCCCTTAAGAGTTTAGGAGGAAGTCAAAAGCCCATGTCTGGGAAGGGGCATGGGTGAGCTCTAGAGTGAGTCCACACTGAGTCTTTGTCCTGAGAGCTTCTTATCTCTCTTCTTCCAGTGAGAATCTTAGGGGAGGGTTTCAGCAGAATATTCATCAGCTTTTCAGGGGCATTTTTAAAAAGATTTTATTTATTTACTTTTAGAGAGAGGGGAAGGGAGAGAGGAGAGAAACATCATTGTACGGGAGATACATTGCTTGGTTGCCTTGCACATGCCAGCTGGGGACCTGGTCCACAACCCAGGCATGTGCCCTGATTGGGAATCAAACAGGTGACCTTTCAGTGTGCAGGCTGGCACTCAGTCCATGGATCCACACCAGCCAGGGCTCCAGGTGCACTTTTAATATGCCAATTTGTCAAAATGAGTGTATGGGAGGCTTGGGAATATTCTTTGGTTTGCTGTATTATCTTGGTTCTGTCTGGCTTTTAATTTTTTTTTTTTTTAATTTGTTCCCCTGACTTCATCTGTCCTTGAGTTTAGCTGGCACAAAAAACATTAATGGATCTCTGTTCTCTATTTTCCCAGGCCAGGGAGATTTAAGCTATGTATTCTTTGGTTAGGGAGGAGAGGTATAAAGCATTCGCTCTCAAGTGTCCTTGGTTAGAGGAGATAAGGTTTTGTGATTCACCAGCTGGCTGTAGGTTGTTTGGCCTTGTTTAATCTTAACTCAGTTTCCCCATTCTACTTGCCCAGGAATTTTCCTAGATTCTTCCTATCCTATCTCACAACTGATAACCATTACCCATGGAATTGTAGACATCAGGGCAAACAGCCCTTTGCAAGTCCTGGGAAACAGATTCCTTTCAAAAAGTACTTGCATCTGTTGTGAACAGGTAAAAATTCACACTACTCCAAAAAGCACTTGAGGTTGTCATGTGCCCCCTTGTCAAAGTGATCTCCGAGTCTCCTAAACCTAATAGCTTCCAGGCTTCACATGACGACTAGAGAGCACACAGTTTTTCCTAGGCAGGTATGGGCAGCAATGCAAATCAGGCAGAAACTGCTGAGTTAATGTCTGCACCACACCGTCCCCTCGGAGACAGAGGTTTGAGACCCCCAACAAAGTTGTTCACCTCTTCACCTTTGTGCAGCCCAAATCTGCTTATAAACTACCCCACAAGGTAAATAGAACACCCACATTAAAGAAGACTTAGGAAAAAAGCCTTTATTTTTTACAAACAAAAAAGACACGGACCTGGCCGTTCTTGTGTTAGTGACTTTGATGCTGGAAATATTCACCACAGGTTGTGGGGAAAGCAAGTCCCTGAAAAAGGCAGTCTTTCTGCAGCTTCCAGCTGAACTCGGAAAGATGTTCTCTGGGGGCCAGCACTAGGTCA